AAGCTTTTCTTGCCGTAGAGCAAACTTTAAGCAGTTTTCCCATCATCCAGATCAAGCTGAGTAGGAGAGTGAACAGAAGCAGGCCAGTGAGAGTCGGTATAAAGTCTGGAAGGTGAGAAGTGTGAGATCACTTTGGAGAGTGTCCTGAGCGGAGTTGTCAACTAGCACGTCTCCTAATACCTGACACGTGATATCTTCCTCTGGAATCCAGCACGTCTCTTTTTGGTTGATTGTGGTAAATGTCTGTGCTGTGTGTAGCTGTGCTCACTTCGTCTTCTGTGTCACGTGCTAGAGCAGCCTGGCTTCTCGCCTCCACCGCTTTCTCCTCCAAGGTTGTTGGCAGCGATTCTTACAAAATGAAGCTAGCTTGAATGTAGCCCGAAGAAGAAGGGGTGTTGATTCCCATTTCAGTGGAGAAAATTGCTGCATAGCCTTCGAGGTCACCAGTTCAGAGCATCGTTTTCATTCTGTATCCCAGTCGGGTGGGCAAAGCAGAGCTGAAGAAGCAGGGCGCACTGGCAATTGTATTTTCTTCCTTCACCGGAATAGTGATTGCCATGCTAGTTTAATCACAAGTTTAATCACAAGTGGGTACGTGACTCCATGAGCTGTGGTCAACGTCTGTTTCTCCTGAATTAAATGAATTTGATGATGAATGTTCAGAACAGACAAACAGTTGTAACTAGGAATCAGTTTCGTTGTTAAATTTAACTTCTGGTACATCCCTTTGGGGTAAATTTGGTCAGAATTTATTTGGATTTTTTTGACTTCCAAAGATAAAGAATGAAACTAGGAATTAATTTGAACTCCAGAAACTGTTGAAGAATCTTTACAGTGTGATGTGGGCAGTTAAATGTATTTAAAAATGATATCCCTGAATTCAGATACCTGATAATTTTTTTGTTAATTCATTTTTCACAAGAAAAAGCAGTGCTTTTCAAGAGTTTGAAGACTACCATAATTGAATCTTTACTATTTGCTAAGCATAATACTCAAACCAGAAATTATAAAAGAAAAGGCTCTTATCTTGGCATTAAAAAAATGATCCATTTAAATTTGCCATAAACTATGTTAAAAGAAAAACAGATTTGGGAATATATTTGTAACATGCACAGCAGGTGGAAGGTTATTTTCCAAATATAAAAACCTCTTGAAGTGGGTTAGGAGAAAGGTTAAATGTCCCCAAACAAAATGGGAAAGAACAAGAACAGGGGAGTCACAGAGGCGCCTGTAGATAGATGAATAGATGTTCAGTCTCACTTGTAAGCAAAGAAAAGCCCGAAAAAGAGAAGAAGAAAATACCCTGCTGTCAGAGATACGGGAGAGTGCTCAGACATTGTTTGGTAGAAGCTGATACAAACCTTTTTAGAGATAATTTGTTTTCTGTGTTAAAAATATAACTGTTTATACCCTCTGATCCAGCATTTCCACTCTTCAGAATTCATCTCCAATAAAAATCTGGCTTTATGTGCATAGATGTACATATGAAGGTGCCTGTTACAATAATGAAGAATGAGGACCAACCTAATTATCAGTAGTTACAAGTAAATTATTAATATCAACACATTGGAATTCTGTGACAAGCATATTTTTTCCCCAGGTTTTAAACTGCCATAAAGTACATCAGGCTTTCCTGGTGGCTCAGTTGTGAAGAATCTGCCTGCCAATGTCAGAGATGCAGGACACTTGAGTTCCATCCCTAGGCTGGAAGATCCCATGAACAGAGAAGCCTGGTGGGCTACAGTCCATGGGGTCGCAAAGAGTCGGACACAACTGAGTGCACTCACGTGCGTGCGCATGCATGCACACACACATCTTACATTAACCATCTTGAATTTACCATCTTAACCAGTTTTCAGGTGCACAGTTAATAGGTGCATCCACACTGATGTGCAGCCGTCACCACCATCTACCTCCGGAGCTCTTGTCATCCTGTAAAACTGAATCTCTGTGCCCATCAAGCAGACACTTCCTGTCTGCCGCCTCCCTCCTCCTTCCCAGCCCCTGGCAGCCACTCCTGTACTTTCTCTTTCTTTAAATCTGACTGCCCCAGATCCCTCATGTAAGTGGAATCATAGAATATTTGTCTTCTGTGACTGGCTTATTTCATTTGACATAATATCCTCAGGGTTCACCCATGCTGTAGCATGTGTCAGAATTTCATTCCTATCTAAGGCCGAAAAGTATTAGTAGGCATTTTTTTAAAATTTAACTTTTGAGTGGCTAGTACATCCATCTATGTAGTACATCCATTCATTCTCTTGAACCCTTCAAATTGAAGAGGAGGGTTAGGAGGCAAGAAAGATGGGAAGTGACTGCAAATGTGTATCTCTTAAGGGATGATGGCAGTGTTCCCGAATTAGATAGTAGTGACTGATGTAGCACTTTTAATACCCTGAAAACCGCTGATTTATATGCACACTTTAAACCAGGGAATTTTATGGTATATGTGAATTATGTCTCAATACCCAGGTGGTGCTAGTGGTAAAGAACCTGCCTGCCAATGCAGGAGACATCAGAGACGAGGGTTCGATCCCTAGGTTGGGAAGATCCCCTGGAGGAGAAAACGGCAACCCACACCAGTATTCAGGGAACCTGGTGGGCTACAGTCCATAGTGTCTCAAAGGGTCAGACATGGCTAAAGCAAATTAGCACACATGCACAAAGCTATCATTAAAAATTTTTCAATCTCAATATTACCTCAGTTAAAAACATTTTTATGCATAATAGAATAAAGTTTCTTACAGGTTGTTCCTGTCATTCCGGTCCCTTCCGCCTTCCTTCCCTCCTCTCTCTGCCTCCCTGCCTTCTGTCCCCCAAATAACAATTAAATTGTTGTGTAAAATTCTAGAGGTATTTTTATTTCTTATGAATATTTTATTTTTTACTTATAGTAAATACTTATTTACTGTCCCTTTTCACCAAAGTGGTAGTAAATTGAACACAGCGAAGCAGGCATCTCTGAAGTCTTTTTCTCTGCATGTATATACTTTTATCAAAATTAGAATTGAGATCATCCTATACTTGCTATTATGTAGTCTGCCTTTTTTTTACACTTAATATGTTGTGATTATAGTTTTTATCAGTAAATATAAACCTGCATTTTAAAATATTGATGCATGTTATTAAACCAGGTGGTCATTTCTCATTTACTCAACTCATCACCTATTAATATCCCTTTAGGTTGTTTCTAATTTTGTCAGTGGTTTAAACAACAATGAGCATCGTTGTACACTTGCCAGGTCATTTCCTTAAGATATTTACTACTGTTTTAGAGTTTGCCAAAAATATTGAACAATGTATGTCTTAACATACATTGGTTTCCATGATGTCATTAGCTCTGTGAAAACATGGTGCAGGTACTTCTATCCTCATTTTAAATACAAGAAATCTGAAACTATAAAAGATGACCATATGTCCCAAATTAGGTAGCTGTTTGGTACGAGAGCTGGAACTGAAGCTGGTGTCTTCTGATTTGGGGCTAGTTTCCGTCCAGCATGGCACACTGCCAGGCTTGAATACCTGCCTACAAAGAGTGATTTTCTGTTGTTGCTTCTTCATTTCTAAAAATAGGGTTCTCGATGTCACTTCCTTTTGAATTCTTTGTATAGGGTTCTAGGGGCTTCCCAGGTGGCCCAGTGGTAAAGAATCCACCTGCTAATTCAGGAGATGCTGAAGACGCAGGTTTGATCCCTGGGTCAGTGAGATCCCCTGAAGGAGGAAATGGCAATCCACTCCAGTATTCTTGCCTGGGGAATCCCAAGCACAGAGGAGCCCGGTGGCCTACGTTTCATCGGGTCGCAAAGAGTTGGACATGACTTAGTGATTAAACAGCAGCAGCAGCATAATGTTCTAGAATTTATCAATTCAGATTAGAGGTTCACATACTGTCTTTAGGGATATAGCTAAAGATACATCTTCCACAACATTTTAGGAGTTCATCTGCACAGACATCTTTATATAATTACTCACCTGTATTGTTACCCTCTTCTGAATCAATGGCTCCCACAGTCTCGTTATTTTGTGTTTTGTTTTTTGTGGTTAAAGCTTCAAGTTATCTTGATACTTGTGGTTACTGGCATCCAGGGGCTGGGAGGATTGCTTTAATTCGATGCCAGCTCTGTTGCTGTGTGATCTTGGGGTGAGTTATTTAAGTCTCATCAATAAAATTCAAATCATAGTGCGTGTGTTACAGTGAGGATTAAATGAATGAACATTTAAAGAGTGCTAAGCACATTCTGACATGTACTTTTTAAAAAATTTTTTAAATTTTCTATTGGGATAATGTGATAGTTTCAGGTGAACAGTGAAGTGATTCAGCCATACTGGCATGCACTCTTAGGTTTATTATTTACTGTGGAAAGTTAATTGTAAAGCACTTAAAAGTCATTTTTATTTTGGTATCCCTTGTGGTTTCTGGTGAAATTTTTTTATGGTATGTTTGCATTCCTGTAGATTTCCCCTGTATTTCCCCTTTCCTTTCCTTCAGTTCTAGGTGGTACCCTCTATTAATTTTGAAGAGTATCTTTATTTAGTAGTAGCTTAAGCACAGTGAAGAGTTGCTGGAGTCACTTTGTTTCCTGTTGATGATAAACACAAGTTAAATTACTGACATTTTACAGATTGTTAAGGGCTTCCCTGGTGGCTCAGATGGTAAATAATCTGCCTGCAACGTGGGAGACCTGGGTTCAATCCCTGGGTTGGGAAGATCCTCTGGAGGAGGGCATGGCAACCCACTGCAGTATTCTTGCCTGGAGAATGCCATGGACAGAGGAGCCTGGTGGGCTACAATTCATGAGGTCACAAAGAGTCGGGCATGACTGAGTGACAAACACTACAGATAGGAAAGACAGTGTGGAACAGAATAACTCGATTTCTGGTTTGTTCAGTGCGGGGATCTGAGAGCTGTGGTAGCTGCCTCCTGCCTCCCCTGATCCCGCTCTGTTTGTGCTCCTGGAGGAGGAGAGCTGACCTGGGTCTTGTTTTCTGTCTGGACCCAGCACATGCAGATGACCATCCAGGCTCTCCAGGACGAGCTGCGGATCCAGAGGGACCTGAACCAGCTGTTCCAGCAAGACAGCAGCAGTAGGACCGGCGAGCCATGCGTGGCAGAGCTGACGGAGGAGAACTTCCAGAGGCTGCACGCGGAGCACGAGCGGCAGGCCAAGGAGCTGTTCCTGCTGCGCAAGACGCTAGAGGAGATGGAGCTGCGGATCGAGACTCAGAAGCAGACCCTGAATGCACGCGACGAGTCCATCAAGAAGCTGCTGGAGATGCTGCAGAGCAAGGGGCTGTCTGCCAAGGCCACCGAGGAGGATCACGAGAGGACTCGGAGGCTGGCGGAGGCTGAGATGCACGTGCACCACCTTGAAAGCCTTCTGGAACAGAAGGAAAAAGAGAATGCTTTGCTGAGAGAGGTGAGTGGCCACTTTCTCAGCCGTAATGACACTCTGTCTTTTTTCCCTGGTTAGTTAGCATCTTGGCCTAGATGAATTTATGTGCTCTCTTGAGCTAGTGGAAAGGGAACTCCTTCTTTGGTACTTACGTTCTGCCCCGATTTCTGTTCTGATTTGCTGTCTTGTGTGAGCTGACGTTGGTTGGCATGTATACCAGCTTAATGACTTTCTGGGTTTTTCTTTTCCCCTCTTGTAGACTTATTTTGTTGCTAGAGGGGCACAGAATATTCTTGATTGGTTACTCATCTCTTGATTTGTTCATAGAGAGACACACAACAAAATCAGAATCAGAGTAGCTAACTGTTGCTCAATTTTTAAATGTATTAATCATTGAAAGTGAGCAATGACTCAGTTTTAAGTATGCCTGTAAAGCTCTGGGCAGCAGTAATGGATGTTTGCCCTGTGGTTTCTATGGAAACTGTTGCCTTGCTGTAAAAGATACGTGATAAAAATCATCTGCTGCCATGGAGGCACAGCGGGAGGAATGACATAGAGGCAAACTATCACTTATTTTCTAAAGAGGAAACTTGGGCTTTAGCTGACCACTGTGACTACTGGTAATGTTTCACTTTTCTATGTAATACTTCATTTTAAGAAAGCATAACTGAAGAATTCATCTTACGTTGAATTAAAAAAAAATTGACAGCTCTGATTCTCTCTATGAGGTCAGAGACTTCAGCTAATTTTCACATTGTGAACAATGAAGAAACATAGTTTCTTCAGTATTGGAACACTTGTTTAAGCAAATGTATTTTATATTCAACGATATTAAAATGTGTGGTGCTGGCACAGTAATAGATAGCTAAATTGATGAGACAGAATTTCTGTTCTATTTTAAAAAATAATGTAGTTTTAAGTTACGATGTATGTTTTGGAATAATGGCCATTGGAAAATAGTTTACATAGTCACATCAAATTAAATTCTAGATGAAATAAACAGTTACTTTTTAAAAAATGAAAACAGCTAGAAGAAAATGTAAGTAAAAAGCTTTTAATATAATCTTGAAATAGGAAAGAATCTTTATTGCCATAGCAAGATGCTTGAATAACTAAATGTGTGTATGTTAGAAAAAACAATTAACAAAAGTTAAAATGATTGTTTGGGGTGGAGTTTTGCAATTTGTGGCTCGACTGTTACATAAAGATTGTTTCCAGAATAGTAAGGTGCTAGAGGAACTTAGCATCACCTTTCTGTTCCCGTTTACTCGGCAGGTGTCCGTGGAGCCTCTAGTTTATATTCAGTCCTGGGATAGGCACTGGGTATACACTTCTTAACATTTTTCATGTCAGAACACACGGTCTGTGCCATCCCAGAACTTAAAAATCTGGTGAGAGACAGTGAACTGATAATTATGAGATGACATAAACTAGTTGAGTCTGATTATGTCGAGAGAAGGGATTAACAGGGTACGCAAGCATCTTTGAGGAGGTGCCCTTTGAGGGAACACTGAAGAAAGATGAAGCGGTCTTTCTGAGCATTTGTGTAAAATCATGTCCTAACCCTAACCCTAACCCCAGAGAAGGTTAACGGTTTCAAAGGCCTGAGGGGAAGGAGTTTGAGGAGACAGGGAGGAGACGAGAAGGCAAAAACCACATTGTCTCGGGGAGGTGGGCATGAGATTGGATGTTGAAGAGGTCGCCGGGGCCAGGTCCGTTCATTCCACTCATCAGGTGTCCGTTGGGTGCTCGCCCGGTGTAGAGCACGGGGACGCTGCAGCTGGAGACAGTGCTCGCCTCCATGATCCTTGCAGGTAATGCAACAGTTTTATTCAAAGTCCAAGGGAAACCTGCCACAGTGTTTAATCAAGGGAGTGATAAGATCTGGTTTAGCTTTTAAAATTTACCCTGGTTGTTTTGAGCATAGATGGGGGAGGGGGTGTTACAAGTGATCAAGGAAGTCTAGTAAAGACTCTTAATGGCTCTAATCTGTTGATGAGTGGTGACTTGAAACGACTGTTGTACATTATAGCACCAGTGTGTGAAGAAAGGTAGAAAGAATTATAAGCTGACAACACTGAGACATCCATAGGTTTTATTCTTATTAGACTATCATCCACCTCTGAAAAACATCTGTAACTCATCAATTCCAAGACTCAGTTTTCCCTATTTTAACATTGTGAAATTAAGTCTTACCTCTGATGGTGCTTCCCTGGTGGCTAAGACGGTTAAGGGTCTGCCTGCCGTGCGGGAGACCCAGGTTCAATCCCTGGGTCGGGAACACCCCCTGGAGAAGGAAATATCTACCCACTCCGGTACTCTTGCCTGGAGAATGCACACGGACAGAGGAGCCTGGTGGGCCACAGTCCGTGCGGTCGCAGAGTCGGACGCGACTGAGTGGCTCTGCCTCTCACTTGCCCTTGGTGGTGTCTGGAGCCCGTCAGCAAGGCTGCAGTCCTGCTGCGCCTGTGCCCGCACACGGTCACAGCCGCTCGTCTCGTCCCCGCTGAGGCCCGTGTTCTGAGCGTTGTTGCTGTTTTTCTTATTAACTTTAATTGATGTTCAGTGCCCCCTCAGTAATACTGTGGTGTGAATCTGCACTGAAACAAAAAGTTATCGGTATGAGGAAAGTTGTAAAAACAGGTTAGGGTTGTATATGGTTAAACTTTTATGGTTAAATAAGTAAAAAAGAATCTTGCGATCAGTATAAAATAAAAATTCTAAATGAATCTTTGAGTCACGATTTATTTGGAGGCATTCACTTCTTTTCTCTCCAGCACATTGAACAGTAGTTTGCCATACAATTGGTGGCGTCTTAGATTTGAGATACAGTAATATTAAGATGGTTTTCCTATCCAGAAATATTTGTGATTAGTTTTCCATTTTGTTCATGACAATGATTCCGTCAATAGCAGGTAAGTAATTCTCCCAAATAAAAGCTAAAGAAGGAAAAAAAATTTAATCCTGTATTTTCTGTTTGTAGTGGAATTACATTGTTGGGTGACTTATGGTTAGATTTTGTATTGTTTACTGGAGTGTCTTTCCTTTGATGGGTAGAAGAGTGAAGACATCTATTGGACAAATACTGAACTACAGCCCAGATGTGGTTAGGGCCTGGGGCCTGGGCATGTGGGGTTTTAACAGACTTTCCAGGTGGTTCTGTGACACACCAAAGTCTGGTTCTCAATCTGTTGGCAGACCGTACCTAATCTGGCTATGGAATTCTTGGATCAGCAACCCATATGCATTCTGTGCATGTCTTTAAGTGGAATAAATATTTCAGATCTATGCGTGCTGTTTTTTTTCTTTTAAATGTAGATCCTATTGTGATGAATAAAATACTGGTTTGTATAAAAACATTTATTTACATGTATGCCAATTTTTGTCTGTATAATATTTCAGTCAGCAAATCTTGTTTAGAACAATTGCTGTCATGTTAGTATTTGCAGAAGTATTTGAGGTTAAAAGACCTATTGTGTGACTAGTTCTAGGTAGGAATTCTGACTGACTGACTAGCACATCTGAGGAATGCCTGTCTGTATTACTGGCAATTATAAGGTAAAAACAGAGGACTTTAGAGGGAAGAAAGAGAAACAAGTACACATAGAGAAAAGATGGGAACAATGGACAAGGAGTAGGGAGAATTAAAAAAGGAAAAGGGTCCCTGGTGAGTGTGTGCTTTCCTAGTAATTTTGGAAACTGCAAACAGCTACATTGCTCACCTTTGTGATTCAGCTTATCCTGTCTCAATGTGTGTGTGTGTGTGTGACTTGTGCCTCATTTTTGGCAGGAGGGTGTGTTTTCTCAAAATGATGCTGTCGGTCGAGATGATGAGGGGTTACAGTGCAGTGCCCCCGCCTGATATCTGGAGTTCAGGTGCAGGCAGAGTACTGAGGGTTCTTTCCCACGTGTCTGTGTTGAATACAGTCAGCCCTGAACTTGTGTGGAGAATTAAATCTGGTGAAGGGACATCTACCCAAGAACCAGGGGTGCTGGAGGCTAAAACCTAACTGTTGAAAAAAAGAAAGTTCAGACATAAGTGCTGCTTTTCAGCCCTGAATACTCCTTTCTCTCAGCTGTGTAAGCAAGTGTTGACTGAGTTTTTAAAAGAAAACTACTAACAAAAGAGAGATTTTGTTTCTACCTTATTTGTTTTCTGTCTAGTCATTATTCTTTAGGGTATGAATGAGAGGAATTGAAGGCATTTTTTGGTGTGCACCATAGTTGACAGCATGACAAGATCCAGATAATTCTACCTGTACTTGAATTTGTTTTGAATGAAAATTTTCAGGCTAAAGAGAGTGAAATAAAGCAAGCACATAGCATATTCTGCTTTTTACATTTGTCTGAATAGTACTTTCACTTTTATTTCCAGAGTTGTATCTCTCTACTGACAGTGCACATGTCAAAGGGTTGATGTGTCAGTGGGAAGGGGAGTTGATGAGTCTAAGGACTGCAGGACATGTTCACAATGAGCTTTAATGTGCAAGCTGTTGAACGGAAATCTGTTAAAACCGATAGGTCTTAAAATGTCTTAGTTGGAAGGTTTTATGCCTGCAAATGGTTTAAAGTACACCCAAGTTCCTTGTTAGACGAGGGTTTCTTTTTATTCAAATGGGTTTTTTTCTTTATATACTACAGGTATGCTTGCTGGAGTTTAAAATGAAATTGTAATAGTTTCACCTTAAAGCATTTGGAAATTTCCCTAAATTGGAAGTCGGTTGTGGGGAAAAGGTCAGATAAAATTAATTCAGTGTCTGAATTGTGAGGTATTTCTAAGAAATGCAGTTTTAATATTTCAAGTAGATAAATGTAAAGTGTAGGGTCAGTCAGTCAGTGTTAGTCGCTCATTTGTGTCCAACTCTTTGGGACCCCATGGACTGTAGCCCACCAGGCTTCTCTGTCCATAGGATTCTCCAGGCAAGAATACTGGAGTGGGTTGCCATTTCCTTCTCAAGGGATCTTCCCAACCCAGGGATTGAACTTGGGTCTTCTGCATTGCACGGTGGATTCTTTACCATCTGAGCCCCCAGGGAAGCCCTTAGAAGACTTTATTAATAGGTGAAGATTAGTTAACAATTAGCAGGATTCATTTTCTTTTTGTTAATACCTTTTAAAGTTCTGTGCTCATTTATTGAACATATATTATTAAATATCCATGTGCCCACTTTATCACCTGTTGATGGTGTAGGGCGTGTGGACAGACTGGAAGCCGGGAGGTCACTGATGAGTTTGTTGTCTTAATGCAGGTGACAGGTGATTATGATCTGAACTCATGGGTTCAGATTTTGTCCTGGATTAACGTGTTGTGGATTTTTCTGTCTTTCTTAGTAGAATGTTTTGCCTGGCAAGAGTTAATTGTGGATGAACTTGACTGTTAACGAGACTTACTTTTACACTCTGTTGGGGCTGGCCCAGATGGTTGTCTCTCCAGGGCTAGAATGTCTCTGCTCAGCGCCACTGACCTCTCCACTGGGCGCTTTGGAGCTTGACTCTCGCCAACCCCTGTGAGCTCAGGCAGTTGCTCACTCATCGCTCTCTGATCATTGTTCTGCCCCCAACAGTCGCTGTTTGTCTGACATCGTGGAGTCTTTCCCTGTGTACCAATACTTCGCTTTTACCTGAAGACTCCAGGGTACCCTGTCGGATCAGATGCTTTACCAGCTAGCTTCTCCTCTCTGTTACTCTGCTTCGCACATTGCCAGCATCTTGGGGACTTGGACCCACTGGTCTGTGTTTCAAGCCCTGCAGGACTGCCGTTTTCCATTTTCCTTCTTGTCCGCACATCACACATCAGATAGCAAGTCTGGATCATAACCTCATTAGTTTCTCTTCTCTCAAGGATCATGGTCCTCTGCTGCTTGTCTTCTCAATGTCTGAAAACAGTTGCTTCATGCTTTTTTGTCTAATTTTAACATAGTTTACACCAGGAGACCAGTCCTCTGTCTGTTATGGTCAGATTGTTTGACCTTGTAGAGAGTGATAAGAAAATGGGAAACTCATTGAAGGGTTTAATGTCAAGTGCCATCATCTGTTGATGCTTTATCAAGTTTACCCTGTGGCTTTCTTTCAAATGGACAGAAGAAATAGAAAGAAGCTTCACTTGAGGCTGTTGTAGTAATCTAGGTTCAAACTAGACTGGAAATGAAGTGAAATGGTAAATTTGAGGAGTATTTGATGATGGAACAGTTAGGATCTGCTCTGGAAAGTGGTAGGAGATGAGGATCTGGGAGGACTTGAAGGAGACCTTCTGGTGTTTGGCTTGAGCCACCAGGAGGCTAGTGCCCTTTAAGGAGATGGGCAAGACTCACCAGTCTTCAGAAGAGGGACCAGGTTAAGTAGCAGGAAATCAGGAGTTTTGTTTTGGATGAAGTAAGTTCGAGTGACCTGGTAGACATCTATATAGCGATGTCAAACGAGCAGAGCAGAGGGCAGGCCTGGGCATTCAACAACACTGTTGAGATGGAAGGCATCCATGTACCTTCCCTGTGGTCACTTGGGCTATCTCAGGGGACCTGGGAAGTACCAGCTGACTCAGAGACAATCTCAAGAGTCTGACAGGAAAGGTCCGTAACCCCAGGGGGAATCTCTTGAAGATCGTAACTGTGATGTTCTTCCGCCTCCTTCCTTCTTTTCTGATCCTGAACTCAAGGAAATTTGGATTAAAAAAATAACTCTGTTTTTTGACACTGGCTAACCATAGGCTACTTCGGACACTCATTCAGCAGCCGTACTCTTTTTCTTTCTGACTGTGGCCCCTACAAAACCAGAGACGTCCATCGTGGTCAGCCAGGGGCCTGTGGTTCTCGGGCAGATGTTATGCAGAGGATGCTATCAACACAGATGCTCTCAGCAGCTCGTGCCGTGCGCACTGGACTGCTGTGACTTCTCCTTCTGAAAAGGGACTATTTCTAATCCCCTTGTTGGATTGCTTGGCATCCTGAAATATGCTGCCAAGTCGTGTGGAAGAGTGACACAGCAACCTGGGGGCGTGCCGGAGCATCACCTGTGATGATGGCTGAGGCCTCTGGGATGCATTGTAACCAGGTGCTCAGAGATGGCGGCCCTCCTGTTCCCCTTAGCTGAGGGCAGTCTCTGGGCTTCCTGGTCCGCAGGGCAAGGGCAAGGAGACAGGAAGTGACCAGTGTCTCACAAGACTGGGGAAGGCATCTCTACATGCAACTACTACTCCCTCACCACCTCTACCTTCTTTTGGGAAAATGGGAGTGAAGAGGAGGACGCTTACTCTCTTTCTTGCTTTTTGTGTGTAGGAGATGCATCGGAGATTTGAGAACGCCCCTGATTCTGCCAAAACTAAAGCTCTGCAAACTGTTATTGAAATGAAGGTAAGTGGGAACCTAATGAGGAACCTTACTGTATCAGTTCGCACTTTCCAGTGATCACACTTTGATGTGTGAGTTTTAGAAAGTGGTACTTAGTTCACTCACATTGTAGACGGAGAAGAAATAGTGAGACTTCATGAACACGACACATGAAAAGAGCTTCAGTTTCATTTCCTCTTGCCCAGCATTTCTTGGAATCAGCTCTTCTCAAACCTTTTGATCTCGGGGTCCCTTATTCTCTTAAAATGACTCATTTTGCTTGTTTTTAAGAAATTGTCTGCCAGGGACTTCCCTGGCGGTCCAGTGGTTAAGACACCGCAGGGCACCTGGTTTGGATCCCTGGTTGGGGAACCAAGATTCTGCATGCTAAGAGGCGCAGCCAAAAAGAAAAAAAGAAAGGAAAATGTCTATTCTTCTCTCAAGTAAGGCTGTGCTGTGCTTAGTCGCTCAGTCGTGTCCGACTCTTTGCATCCCCGTGGACTGTAGCCCACCAGGCTCTTCTGTCCATTGGATTCTCCAGGCAAGAATACTGGAGTGGGTTGCCAGGCCCTTCTCCAGGGGATCTTCCCAACCCAGGGATCAAACCCAGGTCTTCCACACTGCAGGCAGATTCTTTACCATCTGAGCCATCATGGAAGCATAGAGTTTCATGAAAAAAGTACCTGATTCTGTTGCAGCCCATCGAGTGTCCTGGGAGCCGTGTCATACTCAGGACACAGCAGGCGGACCTGGCCCCTTCCCGTTTCCTCACACAGAATGATGAAAATATATGTACTTAAGGTTAAGCGTATGAAAAGTAACAGTCCAGGGCATCTAAGTGAGCCAGTGTCCTGAAAATATTCTTTCTCTCTTTGTCTCTCTCTTCCTGAGAGCTGTGACCCTGAGAGCACGCTGCCTGCCAGCGCGGTTTCGTGCTGTCGCTGTTGTCCTAAGGCACCCCGTCTGTTGCCTGTCGTCTACCTTCATGCACGTGTTAGCGCAGTGGAAGAGGCCCGCAAGTCAGAGAGTTAGTATGAAAAGAGTTTCAGCTTTTCAGAAGGGTTGGGAGGCACCCCTGGGGTTCCATGGACCTCTGCTTTAAGTTACTGAGTAGTTAGAAATCTTTAGGCTGAACGTTATGGTGCTTGGTGACAAAGAGCTTGCCTTCTGTATGAAATTCCCTGAATTAAAAACCTGGCTTTATGTAATCAGCCATATGATGTAGAACAGGTAACCTAACTTCTCTATACCTCAATTTCTTTCTTGATAAATGGTGATGATACTAGTACCTATCCCATGGGTTGTTTTGTCATTTAAGTTAATTAAAACAACTTAAAACATTTTGAACAGGGCCTGGTACATAGCAAACATTCAGTTAGTGTTTGCTGCTGCTGCTGTTAGTTTTTATTAACAGCATATTCTCTCCTACAAGAGCTGAAGACTCTTTTAGACAGGGACCCTCCCTCCTCTCCTTTCCCCCATCTCTGTTTCTCCTTTCACCTTCTTCATGTCCCTTAAATAGTGTGATGCAGTGTTTTGCATTATGCACCTTCATTTAATCTTTATTGATGTGACACGAATATTTAGTTTTTGGTATATAAATAGTTCTGTGTAAATATGCTTCTTAAGTACAGTTATGATAGCGGTTTTCTTAGATGATTTCCTCTTAAAACTTATATTGTATACATCTGTATTCTTACTGGGGAAAGGGTTTTCCAGAAAATTCCAAATTAGTGGATTCTGGGTTCTTTGTAGTCAGACAATTAATAGTCCTGAACATAATCTTGATGAGAGCCTTTAGGAAGGTTGGACTGCACACTCAACGTTCCCTACATGGTTATTTGTGCATATTATTTACTGAGTCCATTGGAACCTAAAAGTAAAGCACACGAGAGTGCCCATGTTCACAGCATCATCTCGCTTGCTTTTGACAGCATGGAAGTGCAGTGGATCTATTTTAAGTTGTGTTAACCTCCAGCCATTTTGCTACGAAGCAAGAGACAGAGATTCTGGTGGCCCAGTGGGGTCAGGTGGATGTTATGTTGAAATCACAACTGAAGACTCTGAGATGCAGCTGAGACACCTTTTGAAAAAAGGTTGAAGATTTGAGAAATTTAACACGGAGCGGAGGATTTCAGTGGGCTGAGTTGATTATTGTTGGGAGACTCAGGACTGGGGAAGAACAGAGTAGTAAGATGGTAGAGAGTTTATTTATCTAGTTATCATCCGTTCTAAAACCTCCTTTGGAAGGACTGTCCTCAAATAAGCCCAGCCTGAGGACCAGTTGCGTTGGTGCCAAACTAGTCCAGCATATCAGGTATGGCAGGATCTCTTTCCGGGCAGTCAGAGCTGGAATCTTGGTCCCTTCTGCCTGATCTTATGGTGCGTGAAATGGCAGCAACGGTGCTGATCCAGTCCACAGCTGCCCCCCAGTGTGTGTTGGGATTCAGGGAGAAGATGGGAAATGTGTCCTGGCCAGGGCCTTGCGGGGCTTCATAGAGGAAGGGGCTGCTGATGTGTGGGGCTGGAGTTCTTAGCTGGAGGCTGTTCCACTTGTGTGGCACCCAGTGGTGCTAGAAATACGCCCCCCTCTCTCTGCTTCCCCTTTCATCGCTGCCTAGGCTACTGTCCGAGGAGAGCCATGTACCCCTTTCTTCATTGGCAAGTTAATTACATGCCTGTGTCTATTATTTTAGTCTTTCTTGAGGGACAACATCTTGATCTATCCAGGAAGATTTATAGTCATCTTAATTTTCAGATAGTGCATTTGAAGTCATTTATTTATTCTCTGTGAGCTGAGATAATTGTAAACAAGTAAATCAAAATCCTAGTTCAAGGGGGCTCCCCTGGTGGCTCAGTAGTAAAGAATCTGCCTGCCAAGGCAGGAGGCATGGGTGCAGTCCCTGGTCGGAGAAGATCCCACATGCCATGGAGAAACTAACCCTGTGCCACAACTACTGAAGCCTTTGCGCCTGGAGCCCATGCTCTGCAAGAGGAGCCACTGCAGTGAGAAGCCCACGCGCTGCAGCTCGAGAACAGCCCATGCTGGCCACAAGTAGAGAAAAGCCTGAGCAGCAGTGGAGACCCAGCACAGCCAAAAATAAACAGAATCCAAAAAAATAACGGCAGTGATACACGTGTCAGTCAAACATTAAAAAAAATCCTAGTTCAGGTTTAGAATGTCTCTGATCGTATTAATACAGTATGTTTAATTTTGAACCAAATATAAATTTCATTTGAATAGTTTTGTAAAAGAAAATGTTTGTTGTATTATTTTTAAAGGTAATTCAATGCAAGTCGGAGGAATTCAGCCCTTACCTCTCCCCTGTACCTAAAAATAGCTAGTTACAACTGTCTAATGATAAGTTTTTTAACTCTTATCTGCATGCTTTCAGAGAGCAAGGAAAGTCAGTCACGACAGCCTGGAGGTAAAGTGAAAAAACAAGTCAGTCTCAAAATTTCTTCCTAAAGGAGTGGTTTCTCTGAATTTCTAGATAAAATAAAATTCTACTTAATTTAATGCTCTTTAAGGTCTTTATTTCATAGGTGAATAAGCATATGCAACTATCGATGTAAAAATATCTGTTCTTTGTTGGAGATTTTCTGTAACTTATGACATCTAAAGTAATCTGGGGATAAGCTAGGTACTGTGACAGACAAAACCAAGAAAATGGTATAGAAGGTATTGTACTGGGAGGTGGATATTTGTGGTGAGGCTGATTTACAACAGTGATGTTTCTTTTTAAAAATGACTATGAAATCTTTCAAACTCATGGTAAAGTATAGAGAATAAGTAAGATTACTAACACAGTAGCACTCCCCCTTGTCTATGGGGGTTATGATCCAAGACCCTCAGTGCATGCCTGAAGCCACAGATAGTATAATACCACACTCTGTATATTCTGTATTTTCCTGTGTACATTCCTTGGATACATTTTATAAATTAGGCACAGTGTAAGGGATTAACAATAATTAATAAAATAGAACAGTCATAACAGTGTACTTTATGAAAAGGTGGGTAGTCTCATGGTCTCTCTTGGTATCTTACTGTACAACTCTGATGCTGTCTCCATCTAAATTAAGTGCTTATCATGCTCAGTACCCTTAACTTTTGCAGTTTGAGGTGCAACAGCAAAGCTGGCAAGAATTTCTTTTTCCTTCATCACAGTTTCACTGATGGAAGATTCATTTGTACTATAGATCTTAGCAACCTCAGCATATGATTTTTTTTCCTTAGTGAGAACTTCCATTTTTCCAGTTAAAAGAAGCATCTTATGGCTTCTCTTTCGCTAGTCTGAGCTGCCAGCATCACTATGCTTGTGCTGTGGGTCACTTGCACACAAGCACTGTGATGCCAGGACAGTCCGTCTGATGACCAAGGCTCCCACTCGGTGACCAACGGGCAGGGATACAGTGGACGAAGAGATGACTCACGTCCTGGGGCAACAGAGGTGTGAGGCTTCGTCATGTTGATCAGAACAGCATTATGCAGTTTAAAACTGATGAATCGTTTCTTTCTGGAATTTTCCATTTGATATTTTCAGACCACAGCTGATCTCGGGTAACTGAAACCATGGAAAGCCAAACCACAGAAAATAAAACTGTGGATAAGGCAGGACCACTGTAGGGTAAACTACAACTTTTGATGTAATTAACGATTCATCCCTTTGCTTTTCTGCAGTGGGATAATATCAGGTCTTTGTGCTTGTAGATAGTTGGACATATTACTATAAGTCTTCAAAACCTTCTTACTCTTCTCCCTACTCCATTGGGGGCAGAAATAAACCTTTTAAGGTTGCCAAGTAAAATGATTAAGTATTATAACTTGGAACGGTTTTCCCGTTAATATTACAGATGTTTTCTCCAGAAGTTTGTTGACCATAAAGTGCTCAGAAACTTCAACTAGTTGTCCATTGCTTCTGCTTCTTTCATTAATACTGTTAGCTTTAATCATAAGGGTACAGAGGAAGGAATTAAAGGAAAAACATACTATGGTCAGGAAGGATATATTTCAGAAGCAGGGCACCTCTTGTAGTTATTTTACATATGTGTTGATCTTTATTAAATTTCACACTGTAAAGGCCGGCTTGTTCAGCCTTGCTGATTTTTCAGGAAGACTTTACACTTGATCTTAGCCAAAAGGCCGAGAAGCGATTCAGGAAGACTTTAATGTCTCAATCTTACATTGCTCTCAGGATTCAAAAATCTCCTCTATGGAGCGTGGGCTCCGAGACTTGGAAGAGGAGATCCAGATGCTGAAATCCAACGGGGCTTTGAGTACTGAAGAGCGAGAGGAGGAGATGAAGCAAATGGAGGTCTACCGGAGCCATTCTAAATTTATGAAGAACAAGGTAATGGTGTGAGATACCTGATTTTTAAAGGGGGAGGGGGTTGAAAAACTGATGTGTATTCCTGCCTCTTTAGTGATGATGGACCTCACGCTACGTTATCAGGCTTCAGGGAAGAATACTTGAAACATAATTCTTTCAGATAAAACTTTCCCAGTATTAACATTAGAATTACTGATGTTGTATGGATATTTCAGATTTCACTTAAAATCACTTGTGTGAGGCTAGGTGTGTATTATCATGATTTAGCTCTTCATGTCTGTCAGTACTTCTGAGGCAAGCAGAATTACATCCAGATGAGTTTTTCTCCTTGTATGAAACGTCACATTTTCTTGTGAAAGAATTTAAAAGTCAGAACACCAAAAGGCTGAACCCACACCTCTTTTTCCCCCCTGAAATGACTTAAATAAAGTCGCACCTTCCCTTCAAACACAGTTCCTTAAAGGAAAGTCCTTTGCGCTCCTCCTTGGGGAAGAGCCATGTATATCAGGTTTATTGTTTGCCACGTGCACTTAGCTGTATATACAGTAAGGAAGGCTGAGACATCAGTCTGCATTATAACCTCCATCACAGTATTCCTTCCTTAGATCCAAAGGCACTTAGTTTCATTTTCTCAACTATTTTAGGCAAGTTGGAGGATTTAGTTTATTACCGTTATCAGTTTATCAGGTTTGTGGTATTTTAATTAAAGATCATAATTTCAATTATAAAATAATAGCTAGAAAATAAGTATCCCCCCAACACCCCCCCAATATGCCAATTGTGTCAGTTCCCCAATTTCTCAGAAGTAGAAACTGTTCCTACCCGCCCCCGCTGCCCCAATATCCCAATTGTGTCAGTTCCCCAGTTTCTCAGAAGTGGAAACTGTTCCTCTGATGGTACAGTTTCTGGCTTCTTGCTGTGATCCCCATACCTGTATATAAGTCAGTAGAATATTCCTCTGTTATCTTAAGAATCTGTTATGCGTGACCACAGCCAGTTTCATATATATAACTTCCAGAGCTGAAAAATCCACACATCCAACTTTCTGTTAGCTTGATTTGTCCCTCTCACTTGAGAACAAAATAAAATAGCGTCTCTGCTTCCCATTTGCCGGTTAGCACATTACAGTCCCTGAAAAAGGCCCTGTGAAAAGAGCAAACCCATCCAGGGGTCCTTTGAAGAGGAAATTAGGGGAACCAATCTGATTGTGTTCTATGAGTTATTGTTGCTTCCAGTTCCTGCTCTGGCTCAAAAGCAGGCAAGAAGATGACCCAGGTGGACACCTGAGTGAAAAGGAATAACGATGTCGTGACAGGTAGAGCAACTGAAGGAGGAGCTAAGTGCCAAAGAGGCCCAAGGGGAGGAGCTGAAAAAGAGAGCGGCTGGTCTGCAGGCTGAGGTCTTTGCCGTAAGATTTACCCTTTGCGGGCCGTGGTCCCGCGGCGGGACCCGCGGCTGGCGCTGGGTGCTCCCCTCTCTCTCTGCGGTCGGCGTTTCTGCCCGGCGCTGCACTAACCAGCCCGCTCTGCTCTTTAACCGACTCCTCTTCTCCCCCTGTGTGCAGTCAGCCGTGCGCGCTCCGGAGGGCCTGTCCTTGGTTCTCCATCGTTGCTCTGTCACTGCGTGGATGGCGCTTCAAAGCTTGTTTTTTTTTTCCCCTTGGCTTCTTTCCTGTCATCAGACACTTGATGTATGTGGATGGTCTCTTTCTCTTCTTAGGTACAAAGAATGTGCAGATGTTCTAGTCCCACGACCCAGGGTTTGTTTGAATCTCACTTCTTGAGCGAAGTGCTTAACCCTCCTAGGTAGACATCACCTCCTAAGTCCCTGATAGGTGATTTTCGCAACACATTATACTTTTCTGTGGAACAGATGTCTAGGAAGTAGTTAGCTTAATTTATAACTGTCTAGTAAATTAGTCTCCAAATCTAGTTCCATCTCCTGTCTAGAGAAGTTGGAATTCCACTTCAAACTGTGATAAAATGATTATTAAAAAATCGTTAACACTCGAGTACTTATTATAAGCATTTTGTAACCTGCTAAGTTAGGTATAGGTAGATACATTATCAACCCACTCTATAGATGAAGAAGCTGAGGGCACACAGGGGGTCTCAGGAGACTCGGCTATAAGAGGCAGTTTGATTTTTACACCAGCCCTCTGGTGCCCGGACCTGTGCCATAGGGCCTGCACCCCACTGCCCTGAGCTCATCGGGCACACGTTTATCTCGCAAGTGTCAGGGGAAAAAATGCATCTGAAAAATAATGGTGGGATAAGACTGGAATGCAGCATTTAAAAAAACAAAAACAAAACACTTGTACTAATTTGGTGTGTTTGCTATTTACTTATTGACCCCTTTATCGTGTAGACAGAAAAGTGAGATATTTTGTCTAAAAGGGTCCAATTTGGTTTGTGGTAACCATGAATTGTCCAGAGGAAAAGTTGGTCTGTAACTTTGTTTTCCCTCAGCTATTATTATTAATATCTTTTTGTGTCAAACAAAGGGCTAAACATTCCATACATCTTTTCTTGTTTGTTTAATCTGTACACAATACAGTGGCACAGGTTTGGTTTCTCCCTATCTTACTGATTAGGAAACCAAGGCTTAGAGAGGAAATTATTCTAGAGGACACATGTATTCTTACTTGGGATTGACTGCAAAGCCTTGTACTCTTAACTTTTAACTTCTTATCTTATGTTGGTGTATAGCCAATGAACACTGTTGTGATAGTTTCAGGTCAACAGCAAGGGGCGCAGTCATAGGTATCATTATCCATTCTCCCCCACATCCTCCTCCCATCCAGGCTGCCGCATAACGTTGTATGCTTTTAACTTCTAGGGAAATTTTATGCTTCCAAACTCCTCTGTTTGGAATATTTTCTTCTCTTTCTCGGTCTTGATGGTCAGTATAGCATTATTTGAGGATTATTTAATAATGCAGATAAGGAGGAAACTGAAATTTTATGTTTATTTTTGATCACATGGTCAGAGGTAGCTGGTAATTTGAGTAATCTGTAAGCCATGGGTTCTTTTTGTGTTGTTACCTTTTGTTTTTTTTTTTTGGTATTGAAATTAAGCCATAGGTTCTTTAGCTGATGAGGTGGGAACATTCCTTCTGTATATTCATTCATACAACAAGTGCGTTTTTCATGCCTTCTGTTTGTCAGGGATGGGATAACACAGTGTGTGTTTTTTGTCGGTAAAGGGATGTTGTGAAAGATGCTACACCACCAGTACGTGGTGACTCCTGGGCACCTTTCTGTAGTCCAGGGTGGAGACAGCTGCTGTTATCTTTCTCTGATGTCAATAGTATCAGCCAGTACTTTGCATTCAGTGAGCTCACAGGAATACTTGTTGAATGAATGAATATAATTAGATTTATAAATAGAGATTTTATGCATATGAGGAAAATGCTTGACTTCCTGCCGAAACCGAAGAGTAAGTCAGAAATTTATTTTTAGTGCCCCTTAAAAAAGTCTAATTTTAATTACAGTAAAATTTATTTCATACTTTCTCATGGGCAGTTGTTCTCAAATGCTTTGGCCCTGCTGCTGCTGCTGCTAAGTCGCTTCAGTCATGTCCGACTCTCTGCGACCCCATAGACGGCAGCCCACCAGCCTCCCCCGTCCCTGGGATTCTCAAGGCAAGAACACTGGAGTGGGTTGCCATTTCCTTCTCCAGTGTGTGAAAGTGAAGTCGCTCAGTCGTGTCCGACTTGTAGTGACCCTATGGACTGCAGCCTACCAGGCTCCTCTGTCCATGGGATTTTCCAGGCAAGAGTGCTGGAGTGGGGTGCCATTGCCTTCTCCGGCTTTGGTCCTAGTGCCTAAGATTATTGCAGCCAAAATAGTTTAGATACATTCAACTTTAAAAAAAATATTTTTTGTTTCCTCAGTTATACTGTGATTACTGACTTCTTACCAAGTTTATACTTCCAGTAATTAGTCTGTATTTTAGTGCATGAATGCCTTGCCAGGCAGTAGACGTAATGTAAAAGCAGATGTCATTACTGTTAAGTTGGCTTACATTTAGAATAAAAGACTAAAAATTCTTAGAAACACAGTAGAATGTAAAGGAGATGTTTGAATTGAAATGTTTTCTAAGTCAAGATGGGACTTCTCTGGTGGTTCAGTGGTTAGACTCTGACTTCCAGTGGATGGAGCACAAGTTCAATTTCTGGTCAGGGAGTTGAGATACCACATGCCATGCAGCACAGCCCAAAAAAAAAAAAAAAAAAAAGGCAAAATTGTTCACCATTTTGTCAGTTAATCAAATCTTTGGACTTTCCTGGTGGCTCGGTATTAAGGAACCTGCCTGCCAGTGCTGTAGACACAGGTTTGATCCCTGGGTCAGGAAGATCCCCTAGAGGAGGAAATGACCACCCACACTCCAGTATTCTTGATTGGAGAATCTCATGGACAGGGAGCCTGGCAGGCTACAGTCCACGGGGTCGCAAGGAGTTGGACAGAAATTAGCAATTAAGCAATAAACATGTCAAGATGAGAAAAATTTGTGGGAGGGGGTGAGTGGCACCTGTTGATTTATGGATTACTCTGTCAGAGTAATTCAACTTCAAATTACACATATAGACTCTTACAGAATGAGATTTTACGCATTTTACGCATTCTTTATTTAGGTTATATACTTTTATTCATTTAGTTGATATGACATGTTGTAGGTGATACAACTTTGTAGGTGGAGTCTTTTTTTAGATCAGTATCCCTAAGTCCTCAAAATGATATGATTTTTTTTTTTAAAGCACGTTTATAACGCCTTGTAAACTAAAAGTGGCTTTTTGAGACAGAGACTTCATGTAAACTTTCATTTCAGAATGAAAAGATACAAGAACTGCAATAGCAGCTTTTGAGTTTAAATAGCAGTGCTAGGAAGTTTCTTTTTTCTCTCTGTATTACATCTATACTAATCCTGCTTTATTTATGATTTGAAGTTTATTATGACTTAATAAAGTGAACACTGGTTTAGTCATGATCAGATGCTTACTGTTATCTCATCATCATCTAAGTGAATTGGGATTTTTCATCATCCATCCATTCCTTTTCTAAAGAATTTCAAAAGTTTAGGAGACAATAAATGGAAGCTGGGAGTTTTCCTATTAGTTGAGTAAGCTTTGATTTGGGGGGGGGTGGTCATCTAAGATTAGATGATGCAAAAAGATGATTTGTGCCCTGTCCTAAAATTAATGCTGCATATTTTGACCTGGATCTGTCCGAGATCCAGATCAGAGGTTCTTGGTTTTATTCCTTTTTTCCTTACACTGTTCTGTTTTTCTTCTCTAGATTGGTCAGGTGAAGCAGGAGCTGTCCAGAAAGGACACGGAACTACTGGCCCTGCAGACAAAGCTGGAAACCCTCACCAACCAGTTCTCAGACAGCAAGCAGCACATCGAAGTGCTGAAGGAGTCCTTGACGGCCAAGGAGCAGAGGGCTGCCATCCTGCAGACCGAGGTGAAGGCGTGCTGGGCTCTGCAGGGACACCGTTCCTGGGCACCTGGGCACTTGGGTTACCTGTGCGCTTCTTGTGCTGAGATATGGGAGCCATGGATACTGCTGCGAGGGATTCTATAGCAGTGTGATCGGTTATTGTACTAAACTATAGTCATCTTGTTTCTGTCATTCTTGGATCTAAGAAATTAAACACCAGTGCAGTTTACATATATTTCTGATATTTATAAGAATACTTTAGGACTTCCCAGGTGACTCTGGTAAAGAACCTGCTTGCCAGTGCTGGAGCAGGAGACGCAGGTTTGATCCTTGGGTTGGGAAGCTTCCCTGGATAAGGGAATAGCAACACACTCTAATATTCTTGCCTGGAGAATTCCAAGGACAGAGAGGAGCCTGGCGGGCTATAGTCCATGGGGTCAGAAAGAATCAGACCTGACTAAGCATGCACACACGCAAGTATACTTTAAACTAACATTAAGAAATGAAAAGATAGTTGTAAAAGCATTTGTTCTCACCCATGGTAAATCTTTCAGTCATTAATGACCATGAGCTTGGGCTGCCTGTGTTGGGTGATTAAGTGTCCTTAATTTTTGGTACTATGAATAGCTTTAAGTATACAAACTGCAGAATACAGAAATGTTCAAGATTCATCTTGTTTTGAACTGCAGATTGTTAGATACGTGCCTTCGCGTCCTGTTTGAAAATAGGGTTAGCGTTTTTAGAAATCTTAGAAGATGATCTAGGCTCTCAGCCTAGATTTAGGTAAGAACATACTGAATAATTTCATACAGATGAGAATCTGTCATATTTGCAATGATCTGTTTGGATTTACTGTCTAAAGGAAAATATTTTCTAAAGAGCTCAATGATGTAGAGAATTTAGATAGGAGTAGGTAAGCAGTTCTGCTTTCAGTTCAGTTCAGTCACTCAGTCATGTCTGACTCTTTGCCACCCCATGGATTGTAGCACTCCGGGCTTCCCTGTCCATCACCAACTCCTGGAGCCCGCTCAAACTCATGTCCATCGAGTTGGTGACGCCATCCAACCATCTTATCCTCTGATGTCCCCTTCTCCTGCTGCCCTCAATCTTTGCCAGCATCAGGGTCTTTTCCAGTGAGTCAGTTCTTCACATCAGTTGGCCACAGTATTGGAGTTTCAGCTTCAGCATCAGTCCTTCCAAGGAATATTCAGAACTGATTTCCTTTAGGATTGACAGGTTTGAAATTCTTGCAGTTGTGCTTTATAGAAGAAAAAGCAGTAATGTGGATTAAGGTTTTCTTTTAAAGAACTAGATAATTGACAGAGGTATAGTTTAATGAGAAAAAGGAATGGGTAGTAAAAAGAATGCAGAAAAACATTACAGACCCAGAAGTTCAGTATCTTCAAGTGAGAAGGAAGAGAAAAATGACCAAAATATTTCACATATTATTTTTATACTGTGAGATTTTGTTGAAAATGAGCGATTTAGATGGTGTGTTTATAATTTTCCTTACAGCTTACTTAGGCCTTTTCTATTTTGATCATGTTTTGGTTAATCATGGCATCAGCTTCCTACCTCAGAAGCATGTTTTGGGTATGAATACGGCTCTGGCGTCAGCGTTACCGAGTTTGACCGCTGGCCAGCAGGTGCAGATTCTGACCTGTTGCTTAAGTTCATTGTGCCTTGTTTCACATCTGTAAGGTGAGAGGAGTGCCGGCCTCATTAGGTTGTTAACATTAAGCCAGTTTATCCACGCCTGGTGCCTGTCACCTAGTAAAGTCTTCATACGTCAGCTGTCAGCATCATCATAGTTCTTATGATACTGTCAGCTCATGTATGTAAACTGCTAAAACAGTGAGAGAACGTGGTCACTTTTCATTGGCATAAATTTTATGTGGAAGTTCTGCTGTTTACTATTTTATGAAGCAAAATTAAGGTTTACTCATGGAATTGCAGATGCAGAACTACCTGGAAAATGTAACCTGTAAATGTATTAACTTAGAGCTTTATTAAAGAGTTTTCCACATCAGTACCTGGTTGCATGCAGTTCTACGAAAGAGTCAGAAGAGGGCGCCCTCGCTTTAGAAGTGAGCCTGCTTCCGGGCTTGCTGCTGTGATGGCTTTGGATGGAGGTGGCAGGTGTGCGAACCAGAGTCCCAGGCAGTTGGTTAGTGATGATGCAAACACTTAAAAGCTTGTCACAGTCTAATAGATGACTTCTTCCCCTTGGCAATTCACCCTTCTCTTTGTACCCCTCTCAAATAATGTTCTCATTAACTAGGTCTCACACAGATGTGCTTGTGATTGGCTTCTTGTACCGTAGAGAACAAAGACTGTATTTGTGGTCATTCTTGGATGGTTTTTATATTTGCTTTTAGCCATTGTGGGAATAACTGAGTTTCAGCAATTTACCCCCACAAGTTATCAGGACAACTGCTCGAATATAAGTGTCTCATTCTGAACAATAACAGTAGGAAAGCGAGCTTCCTTTTGAATTGGGGTGATTTTATGAATGTTATATTCCTGTTTATTAGGATTTACTTTTTTTCATAAAGTACTTTGATGACACTTGACAACAGCTTTCTCCTGTTGGATCCCCTAAAAGTCAGTTTGAACCAACTCTTGAAAAGTTCTCATCTATTTCTGTAATTACTAATACTTCTCTTGCTCTTAATTGATCTCGTCTTCCTCTCTGAAGCTATCCTGGACTTTCATGTGGCTCTCAAATCACTAAATTAAGCCAGGGGTTGAGGTCTTTGGGAACAGTGTGTATTAATAATACCCATGGAATTGTTCCTGTTTTGTGAACACCTCTGTTGATCTGTTAACCTCCACAGAGCTGGTCTGGATTTAGTAGCATTGTGGTCAAAAGCCTGGGCTTTGAAGTCAAACCTTGGCTTGAAACACAGCGTCCTACTTTTATTAGTTATGTGGCCTAGGATGAGTTATTTTACCTCTTTCCTCTTCCATTTTTTCATCGGTCCATGAAATTAATTATAATGCGAGCTTCTTAAGGTTGAGATAGACGTTTAATGTGGCTAGAATAGTTTTTTAATTATGATGCTCTCATCTGAATTTGGAGGTTAATATTAAATATCACTGGCTTAAAGTATTGCCATTGGCTTTTTTTTAGACTATACATTTGCAACCCCCTCCTACCCTTGTACAAATAAACTGTGGAATGACACATCTCTGCCTGTGGTCTTATTGAAGTTTCTCTGAGCTCTTCAGCTTTTCATGGGGATGAGGTGTCAAACGAACTCACTGTGTTTGTTGAAATAGACTTTTTAAAAGGTCTGCTTGTGTATGGTGTTGGTCTCCTGGCCCAGTGCCCTTAGTTCATCCTTCTTTCTAGGTGGAGACAGTGGGAGATGTGGTGACGGGAGGTTATGCTGTGATCTTGGGCAGGTCACTTAGTGTGGGCTTTGCTTTTTTTGCATTCTTAAAATTAGGAGTAGTTTATTTAATTTTTAAAAACCTTTCAAAATACTGTCAAATACAGGAAAAATGCAGAAAATAACAGACATCACTCAGATTTAATCTGCATTAATGTTTGACCACTTTTAAAGGTCCTTTAAAAGGAAAGATTCTTTAAAAAAAAAAAAAAACTCATTCTAAGCGGAATATTCAGTGGAATATCTGATTTAAGCAGAAACTTTTGTTAGAATCTCAGGTTTTTAAAACTGGTTGGGACCAGGAATAAATATGTGAGCGCTGTTGTTATGGGGGTGGTGGCTAAAGCCTTAGGAATGAAGTGGTTTCTCCAGAGGAAGTTGAAGGGAGTGAGACATAGAGGGAAATGACAGAGGGTCCAGTGAAGAACAGGCTTCCCAGGTGGCGCTAGTGGTAAAGAACTCACCTGTTAATGTAGGACTTGGGTTAACGTAAGAGACCTGGGTTCAATCCCTGGGTTGGGAAGACCCCCTGGAGAAGGGCATGGCAACCCACTTCAGTACTCTGCCTGGAGAATCCCATGGGCAGAGGAGCCTGGTGGATTACAGTCTGTGGGGTTGCAAAGAGTCAGACATGACTGAAGTGACTTATCACGCACCAGTGAAGAACATTGAAAAGGCGTGGTCAGAGAGTTGGAAGCAGAGTGAGTCCTGTAACTCCAAGAGAGGAATTATAGGAAATACACCACTGTTTCCATGCAAATACTACTGTGCTCTTAGGTAGATCTATTTATTGATATAAAACAGAAGAAGGAAAAAAAAAAAAACAGAAGAAGGCTAAGATGGGTTGCGATTATTATTATTGTTTTTTTTTGGTGGGAAGGGAGTTGAGGTTAATAGTTTTGTGATCAGAAGTAAAAGACCAGAACAACAGGGTAGCCGTTTTTCTGTTCATGTCCATTGGTAGAGAAAGCCATGCAGAGGAAAAGCCTCCTACTTTTGTTGAAGTTGGCATAACCTGCTTGCCACAGACCTTGATGCTTGGCAAGCTGGATAGATGCTGTTCCTCCAGCCCAGCGGACATGAATAAACAAGGCATTATTCCCCCTGCCAAGAATGGTGTTAGGGTGATGACTGTGTATCCTGCTAATCTCTGAGGGGTTTCCCTGAATATGCTTTTTTTTTGTGTGTGTGTGGTTTGTGAAATACATACCTCACGCAAAATTACACTATGAATTTAGTTCAAACCAAAAGATCAGTGTAGAATTCAGAGCGATTAATCTCGTAGTAGCAAAGTGGTTTTTGTGGTTGTTTTTTATCTTAGATCTCCAGACCAGCACATTTAAATTCTGCGTTGCACAAAAAAGCAGACCAAGAAAAAGTGTACACAGGTGACTTGACTTGAAAAGATCATTTAGTGATTAGGGTATATGTGGGCACGGGTAGTTTGTGCCTAATCTTTGGGATATAAAATATTTTTAATATCAAAGCCGGCATTTCCCACTGCAGTAACACCAAAAGTTTATGTGTCTATAACAAGAGTTTTCACTCATTACCTTTTTCAGTCACCAGTTCCTGTGGGTCTCATACCTGACATTCCCTCAGAACAGCACGCAGGCTTTAGTGAGTGGTTAGCACAGGCCCACCTCCAGGTCACTTAGCGGAGTCAGGGATCTGATGCAAAAGCGCAGCAGGGCATCTAGGTGCTTTTCGCAAAGAAGCAGCACTCTGAGGTCTCACAGTTACTGTCCTCATAGTTCTGAGGGCTTTTGATAATACTCTATATGTGGTTGACAAGCACATACATGACCACATGCAAGAAGGTTCGGAAGTGTGAGGGTAGAATGAAGAAAACTGGTTAATTTAGAAGTAAAGATTTGTGCAATCAACATGACTGCAAAAAACAAAACAAAACAAAATGATGTGAAGCTGTATTTGAAATGATTGCTCAGGCTGGGAGAGAAATAAAACCACAATGGAGGTGGATAACAAAAAGGGTGATGGGTCAGGGGTTATGCTATGAACAAAGAATAGGCTTAGCAGGCATAGAAGAAGGGAAAGAGCTGAGTTTCAGAAATAAGATTTTCAGAGTTTGAAAGTTCTTAGGTGAATCTTTGCAGAATATAAGAAAGCTTGCCATGTGTCATTTATTAAACCAGAGGAAAGTTACAGATGAAGGAGTGTTTATTGAGGGGACAGTGGAACTTGGGGTGAAGAATTATAAATGAGCCCTGAAAAGATGGCTCCCCAATATCTGGCTTGGCAACACTGGTGGCATTGAAGTGGTTGAGAGAAACAGAGATTAGCAGAGTGAAATCTTTTCGTTTATACATTTTTCCTCTCTAGCATAGTTTAAGATAATTCATAAGTGCATGATGGCTTATCTATAGCAGTTTCAAATGAGACTAGTTTCCTAGGAAAATTTGCACACACTGTATTGATACTCAGATACCATATTATTTTTATATAATGTTAGATTTTTTTTTTTTTTTGCTTTGTTGTTCAGTTGCTAAATCATGTCCGACTCTTAGTGACCCCATAAATTGCAGCACACCAGGCCTCCCTGTCCCTCACTGTCTCCCAGAGTTCACCCAAGTTCATATCCATTGAATCGGTGGTGTCATCCAACCATCTCATCCTCTGCCACCCTCTTCTCCTTTTGCCTTCAGTCTTGCCCAGGGTCTTTTCCAGCATCAGGGTCTTTTCCAGTGAGTTGGCTATTCATATCAGGTGGCCAAAGTATTGGAGCTTCAGCATCAGTCCTTCCAATGAGTATTCAGGGTTGATTTCCCTTAGGATTGACTGGTTTGATCTCCTTGCTGTCCAAGGGACTCTCAAGAGTCTTCTGTAGCACCACAATTGGAAAACATCAATTCTTGGATGTTCAGCCTTATTTATGGTCTCTCTGTCTTATTTTCTTTGTTTTTTTTTTTTTTTTTGCTAATACTGGTTATTTATTTATTTATTTTTAATTGGAGGATAATTGCTTTACAGTGTGGTGTTGGTTTCTGCCATACGTCAATATGAATCAGCCATAGGTAAAAACATATGTCCCCTCCCTCTTGAACCTCCCTCCATATCCTTTTGATATGATATAGTTTTGATATATTATTGACATTATAGTTATAATACTATTATTTGCAGATGTTTTGGTACCTGGACAGCAAACTTTGGCTGTCTAGTCTGAGGAACTGGTAGTAGAGTTGCTTTGCCTCACAGATCTCTAAGTGTGTGATAACATTGTCAGCTGCAGGTGGATTGTAGTATCTGATAAAGCAAATGTCATGTTTGGTGGCAGTTACAGTTTTCTTTCTAATCTTAAATTTTCTAAAGCAGTGTGGCGTCACTTGGGAACTTGCTAGAAATACTGATCCTTGAGCCCCAACCTTGCTGGATTAGAAACTCTGATAGCTTGACCAGGCATTCGTTTCAAATCTTCTGAAGGATTTTAATGCATGTAAAATTTGAGAAACATAATAGATCATACCTGCTCTTATAGAAGTAGCAAAGCTCAGCCTGTATATAACAATTCTCTATTTTGTCCCGTTTATTCAGATCTATTTATCTTGATACCATAGTAATTTAACTGATATAAAATTTTTATTTCATTATGAAAGAGCTCACAGAATTTTAGAATTTAATTTCTAAGTAGTCATGTTTATATTTACAGTGGTATGTAGCCCTTCCCTTCTCCAGAAAGTGAAAGTCGCTCAGTCTTGTCCGGCTCTTTGCAACCCCCATGGGCTAGTTCTGCAGGCCAGAATACTGGAGTGGGTAGCTTTTTCCCTTCTCCAGCAGATCTTCCCAACCCAGGACTTGAACCGGGGTCTCCTGCATTGCAGTCAGATTCTTTACCAACTGAGCTATCAGGGAAGCCCCGTTATTTGATTCTAATGTAAGCTTGCTCCAAAAATATCATTTAGGCAACAGCGCACATCTGTTGGGAAGGAATTACATTCCTTTCTTTTCAGTTGTTGTTGTTTAGTCACTAAGTCATGTCCGACTCTTTGCGACCCCCATGGACTGTAGCCCGCCAGGCTCCTCTGTCCATGGGGATTCTCCAGGCAAGGACACTGGGGTGGGTTGCCATGCCCTTCTCGGTGATCTTCCCAGCCCGGGGATCGAGTTGGAGTCTCCTGCATTGGCAGGCGGGTTCTTCACTGCTGAGCCGCCTGGGAAGTGGCTTCTTTTCAGCTAATCACTTGTAAAAATCCTAACACTCATAGGTGGATGCTCTGCGGTTGCGTTTGGAAGAGAAGGAAACCATGCTGAATAAGAAGACAAAGCAAATCCAGGACATGGCTGAAGAGAAGGGGACGCAGGCTGGGGAGATCCATGACCTCAAGGACATGCTGGACGTGAAGGAGCGGAAGGTCAACGTTCTTCAGAAGAAGGTGAGGTGCAGGTGTTCTGAACCCAGGGCCCTCTGCGTTGTACCCACATGCTGTCAAAGTCCTCATTCCTCTGTTGATGCTTTTGCAGGTAGGAAGTAAAAACTGTTGTTGAAGGAGGTAGGTTGTTAAAACTGCTCTGCAGATTCGGTTCTTAAAATTTCCAAGTAAACACTGTCTGCTATCTTCAGGCGTCTTCTCCGTGGTACTATTTGTGCACGGTGCCTTGTAAATGGCCCGAGCGTTTGCACTGACATCCCTCTGCCCATCCTGGTCTTCTGTCTCGTACGGCAGCTGTGGTGACCTGTTAGTGTAGCGCATGGGCCGGGTGCTCACCGCTCCATCCTCGGGGTTAAGAGGACTACAGTTTTGAATAGAGACACGTGCTAGTGTCCTGACATGTAATGTGCATGTCTCAAGGAAAAGAAGACTTTCTTTTTTTACCTTCGTCACTCCTGGGAAGAGGCTAACAGTTTATAATCAATCAGGAAAGTACTATTGATCATCTGCCCCTCCCACATTTAGCTTCATCAAGGCTGCCTTTGAGGTGACAGAGTAGGCACTGCTGATTGTTGTTCCTCTCCGTTGAGGGGATGGATGAGAAGTTTTGATGTTGTCCCCTTTCATTGTTAACCTCTAACGATAGCCAGGAAAGGTAACTCACCTTATTAAACTTCAAACTCAGCTTTTCCTTGGTGTACAGAGGACCGTGTTTAGCATTCGTCCTCTGTTACGTTAGTTTGGTTTTCATCTGCTTTCAAGTAAACATAAAAGTTAGATCACTCTTAATAGTTGGCTATGATATCTTGTTAGTGAAGCTAATTTGTTGTACGTTTTTGCTAGTTTTAAATTATGAAAGTAATATATGTTCAAAGTAAAAAAAATTCAAGAAGTACAAAAACATCGGAAATGAAATTATTTTTTCTCATTCTTTGGTCCTGTCAGTGCAGCTCCTTAGATGTAACTTGCTGTTAATTACTGCATATTCTTTTATTAAATATCTGGGCATATATGTAGGCTTGTATGTGTCACACACCTTTTTAAAAAAAGACAATTGGGATCATGCTTTTTTATTCATTTAAAAATAAACATGTTTGTGTCTTTTTAAATGTAGCTTTGTCTCATTGTTTTTAATGTCTGCATGGCCTTCAGTGTCTTACACCATAATTAACTGATGTCCTATAGCTGTGTCAGTAGATATTTCTAGATTTTTTTCCTTATTTACATATTTGTCATGACAGCATAACAGATAGTGGCATAAATAACCTCATTCAAGAATGACACTGTATGAATCCAAAAAAAAAAAAAGGATGCCCAGTTCTTTACAAAGCCTGTGGCCTTTTTATATTCAGATGACTTCCTTCACAGCTTCATCAGACAATTGTTGCCAAACCTCTAAAAATTTCCATGGACCTGGTTAGATAATTAAAAATGTCTACCTTCCTGCTTAATATCTGTTTAAATCTGAGTGCACATTGAGCTTTTTTTCATAGTTTTCTTTGGGAACCTACATGTTCCTGTCATTTTTACATTTTCTATCACATGGTTTAATTTTTTCCCATGTTGAATTGGCCTCTTCCCTCATGATTTGCCAAATATGTTTTGTTTGTCTTTTTCTTCTTTGTTTCCTTGGTAGTGTTTGTCTTAGAATTTACACTTCAGACTTAGTAGTCCTTTCCTCTGTGTCCTCTGAATTTTTGGTCGTGCTCAAAAAGCCCTTATGCCCACCAAGGTTATTAAGTAACTCACACATGCTTTCTTCCAGTTGTTTAAAGTTTCTTTTTTCTTTACATCTAAAAATTATTTTATAAAATTTATGTATTGGCTGTAATGATTCAGCTTTTTGTTCTTATATGTGGCCAGACAGCCGTCATTATAATGTTTATTAAATAATCTATCTTTTTTCTTCTGACTTGAGATGCCACAAATAAATTGTCCTGTAAATATGGGCCTATTTCTGGCCTGTTCCATGTATCTGCCTCTCTGTCTGTCCCAATAGCAAGTTTTGTTAATTATTGTACCTTCCTCATGCATTTAGTGTTCAGTAAGGTTGTTCTGCTTTATTCTTTTCCTTTTTTTGTAGCAATTTCTGACTTTTCTCACTTGTATCTTTCTCCACATGAACTTGAGCATCATTTTGTCAAATCCCTCTCTTCAAAGAATAAGTTAATGACTTTTCACTGGAATGTGGTGTCTCAGAAATCAAGTTAAGGAAGTTCAAGGGGGTGATGATTAGCCTTGTCAGATACTGCTGATGAGTTAAATAAGATGAAAACTGAGAATTTGCCATTGGGTTTAATACTGCAAAGGTCCTTTGTAACCTTGATTGCAGCAGTTTCATGGAGTAGAGAAAGTATAATTTGTGTCTAGTTTTCCTAATCTCCATATTACTTTTAGCAATGTATTTAATTTTTATGTCCAAATTTAACACATTTTAAAGTGAAGCGATATCTGTTGACTACTTTCTGTGAAAAATACTTAGTGTATTTAAAATCACCCTTCCTGATTTTTGCTGGTAAGCTTTGTTGTCTTTCGCTGTGTCTATAGTACTTTTCATATTTATATTGTGTCTCTTGTTGAGGGGAAAGATCAGTCTTTTCTATCATGGTAATTCACATTGTGTAGCCTTCATTTCTGTGTTTTAGTGGATTTAATGTTTACCTCTAGTTGTTGCACCATAGCCTGCCTTGTTTCCAAGGTTTACATTTCATTTAATTCTTGGTTCCCCAAGAAATCCTTTGAATGCCTTTCCCAGAGTGGTCATGAGTGCTTGCTTGTCGACCATGCATTTATATTATCTTTTTACATTTCATAATTTAGTTATTTGAGAGATACAAAAAGCATAGAGAATAACATAATAAGTAATTATAGTTATTCGACTTGGGAAGTAAAATTTCAAATACAGTCCAAGTTCTTTGGCATACCTTTTCTTGATAGTATTCCCCTCTGTTATCTCCCAGAAATAAATACTTGCTTTGGTGTTTATGCATGCACGCATACCTTAGGCCAGGATAATGTGTTTTTGTGCAACTTATGTATGTACTAAGAAAATACATATAAGAAGATATACATGTGGCAAATAAATATGAACAATTATTTACCTACACTGTCATCAGGGGAATGTAAAGTAAAAGATTAAGAAATCACTTTATACTTATCATTTTAAGCTATGTTGGCAAAAATGAGGAAGTCTGACAGTATCAGGTATTGGTAAATATGGCAACTGGATTTCTTTTTCATGCAGTGCTGTTGGGGTTTTAAATTAGATACAGATATTTTGGAAGGCACTTATTAAATGTAAAGGTACCCTGCTACATACATATACTTTCGATGAACTCCAAGGTATATATAGGAATGCTCATAGTAACCTTGTTTGGGTTGAGGAAAAATATAAAACTGAGGAAACACTGCGCAGATACTCACTGACAGAGTGAGTTGTGGCAAGGTCACACGGTGGAACGATACCATTCGTTTTAGGGCAGGGAGCATTTGTGGACGCGGGAGTCTCCTTGGCTCCTCTCCCTCCTGAGGACATCTGTAGTCACACAGTCAGTCTCTGTTCTGTTGGGCTTGTGGGCATCCCAGGCATCCGCAGCCGTCTTCACTCATGCCGACAACATAGCGCCTGGTGCTGTGCTGAGGAGGACGCAGACCAGACGTGGCCCCTGCTCGCAGACTCCCAGAGCTGTGGGGGTTACAGAGGCTGCTCCACGGACGGCATGCGTGGGCGCAAAGCCGAGCATTTCACATCTGACCTTGCGTGACAGGAGTCTGAGAGAAGTCACAGCGGCCGAGAGTCTGAGAGAAGTCACAGCGGCTGAGTCTTGAAGATGCATGAAGTTTGCTCAGCAGATGGGAAAGGGGTGAGATGTCCCAGGCTGAGGGAGCGCTCTGAGTGAAAAAGGCGGGTCATGTCCTTACCAAGAGGGTCATGTCCCGGAATTGTACCTCCCTCCTTCATTCATTTGTAATACGGATTCTTAAAAATTCCTGGCGTATCTCTTATCTCTGAATGCCTTTTTTCTCCCCTCCCTTATGAACTCTGTAGAGAGTCTCTGGGAAAGTTATTCTCACTTCTTACATCATGAGAAGCTTTTCAGTGAATGCACTCATCTTTGTTATCCTGTTACTTTATTTAGGAAACTAGTAAGTAGAGTTCAACTTTTCTTTCCCCTGGCCCTAAAGATTTTCCGTTAAAAACTTTAGAAATTGATCTGCAGTGGGATATTAGGCATAACATTTTAGGTATTGGGTTGGCCAAAAAGTTTACTTTGGTTTTTCCATAGGATCTTAAGGAAAATGCAAATTGAGCTTTTAAGCCAACCCATGGAACTTGAGATATTCCTGACGACATGTCTTAATTCTACACAACACTTAACCTGCTTGGCTTCTTGATTTAGACACTTATTCCATAAGGAAGAGGGAGATGGTAACTCTACTTTCATCTTCTTCTTGTTCTTGGCATCTGCATTCTCTGATCCTCTTTTCACAAATATTACTTATAACCATTTATTTAAGTAATATCTTAGCTATTTTAATATTTAAGGAGAATACCAGGAAATAATGTATTACTTTGGTCTATTAAATATGCATTAAACTTTGTTTTTTGAGAATAGTAGCAGCTGTGGTAATGGCTGGATTGTCCCGCACTCTGGACTCATTTGGGCTCTGTCTGGACCATCCCTGTTCATTGGGTTCTCAAGGCAGGAATACTGAAGTGGTTTGCCATTCCCTTCTCCAGTATATTCTCCAAGAATACACAGAACTATACAAAAAAAGATCTTCATGACCCAGATATTAACAATGGTGTGATCACTCACCTAAAGCCAGACATCCTGGAATTCGAAGTCAAGTGGGCCTTAGGAAGCATCACTATGAACAAAGCTAGTGGAGGTGATGGAATTCCAGTTGAACTATTTCAGATCCTAAAGGATGATGCTGTTAAAGTGCTGCACTCAATATGCCAGCAAATTTGTAAAACTCAGCAGTGGCCACAGGACTGG